ATATAAATGTGACAAGCAAACAAAATATAAAATAACCAACAAAGAAGTTATCACCTCTATGGCCCTACAGTGGGACCGCCTGTCCTGCAATCGACCTGCATTTTTCAATTAACACCTGGAAGAAAGGCTGCTCAGACAAACTAGCTCTTCTCATTTACCCTTGTGAGTTGCGAGGTAACCAACTTTTTGCTCTGGCCCCAATCAGATAATCATTCCCCTCTTTTGCCTTGGCAGGCTCCCGGGGCCTGCTAGACACTTAATCCTTATTCATATCTAACCTTCCTTTGCTGATTCCAATAGAAGAGAATCTCTGCAGCTCAGGGTTGAACTGTGGAGTCCTTGGCGCTCTCTGATCTTGGTGGTTTGATTGCAGACGTTTCATTACCCAACTAGGTAACACCATCAATGCTGGTGAGTCTGGGCTCTGGTCCCTGTTTATATCCAGTGGCTTGCCCTGCCAGTGTGGGGGGGGGGTGGTTTTTTCCTAGGTCATTTCTTGTTTAGGGTACTGTTTTCTGCTCGATCATTTGTCTGCTGTTAATCCCTATTTATCTGGGTGTTGGCTGCTGGAGAGGATGTGTTCCGGTCTTTTTGTTTCCCTCTTAGCTTTTTTATTGTCACTTTTGGATGGTGTGTAGATGTGGTTTATCTCTATGTGTCTATTGATGGCATCCTTTGCTGATGCCTAAACTAAGCAGCTCTGAGGATGGAGTGGGAAAAAGATGTTGCAGAGCTATAAAATTTGCCTCATTAAAGCAACCCTTTGGTGAGTCAAATTTCAGAGACCATCTTACCGTTTGGGCTCATCCGGCAGATTAAGAACACAGCCCCCAGCACTGCGAGTATATTCGGGGACAATTTCTTAATAAACTTTCAAAATTTGTTGCTATCCTGGCATCTCCCTTGGTGTTCTTGTCCTTTGGTATCCGACCTGTGAATCCTAAATCAAGCATGGACGCACAAATTAGCGCCAACACCGCCTGTCTCCAATTGTCTCAGCTTGCTCCACCAGAACCAGCAGGGGGGGCATGGGCCAGGTCCCTTCCACCAAGCAATGCCATCTCGCTGGACCCGGGAGCTGCACCTTCTCTGTTGCAGCACCTGTCCGCTGGAACAGCATCCCCCGGAGGTTCAAGAAGGAAACAAAAAGACCAGAACACATCTTTTCCAGCAGCCAAGACCTAGATAAGCAGGGACTAACACCAGACAAACAATCAAGCAGAAAACAATACCCTAATCAAGGAACTAC